TAATTTAGATGAACTAAAAATTTGTTTTGATACTGTGAATGTTACCAAATAACTGGATAGTTATACACAGGCCCATTCATACCATGACTATGATTCTTAATATTTCTAATGACAATCATCCAAGAATTCTAAAATCGCTAATTATTGATTGTAATTTGAATATATCTGTAGCAATTAGAAATATACCTATTAAATCACTGAAGCAATATGTAATCCCATCAAAAATTAACAACCTTAAAGATCTTTTAAGTATTTTAGAGAAATTAGACCTATTTGCCTCAAATGATTCATCTGAAGACAGTATTCAAAATTATTTACAAATTGTAAATGAATTATGATGACAATTTAAAAGAGAGAAATTCCACATAAAAACAATGAAATAAATTTTCTCCTTGAGCAACTATCAAACTTGAATTCAGAAAAACAACAATATAGGTATTCTGCAGACTTTCTAATATTTTCCACTTTACTTCACACAATTTCACCACATGCATATAATTTTATTCGAAATTCGGAAAATATTATTATGCCTCATCCACGGACCATTCAGAAAATTTTTTCAGATTTTAATATATATCCAATAAATGAACAATTCACAACCAAAAGTTCCTAAGTTACATAAAATTTAAATTTCAAGAACTATCAGAAAAAGATCTGCCTTGTTATTTTAATGATTGATGAAATTCATCTAAATCAAGCATTTGATTATAAAGGTGGTAATTTGTGTGGAATGGCATATAATTGCAAAAAATGCTGCATCTAGTGCATATGTTTTCATGATTCGTAGCCTGTTATCTGTTTATAAGGATGTTGTACATATTTTGCCAGTGAAAACACTTAGTGCAGATAACTTTCATATTTTTATTAAAAAAAATGTAGTGGAATTAGAAAATATTTTGTTTAAAATTATTGCTGTTGTCACTGACAATAATTCAATTAATAAAAAGGCTATGTCTCTGTTTTCAGAACCACCTAAAGTTAGTATCGTTTATCTAAATCCTGTTGACAAATCTAGGCCATTGTGTTTTATTATTGATACAGTGCATATTTTAAAATGTATTAGAAATAACTGGGTAAATCAAAAAATAATAATCAGAGTATGTTTTTTCCAAGTTTTGATGATGATGCTTCACATATTGAAACTGCATCTTTTCTTTGTATTAAAAAATTACATGAATTTGAAACTGGTAAGTTATTAAAGTATGCTTATGGTCTGACAATAAAAGCTCTATATCCAACTAACTTAGAAAAACAAAGTGTAAAGCTTGCATTGCAGATTTTTAATGATAATGTTGTTGAAGCATTGTTTTCTTTTGGGCAGCAGAAAGAAATAATAAATTTTCCAAGAAACTGGAAAATTTATTAAAATAATAAACACCTGGTGGTCAATTGTAAATGTAAAATCTATTTTTAAAGGGGTTCATAAAAATAATGTATTTGAAACACCTTTCACTGTGGCAGACAAATGATGAAAAATATTTTTATGAACAAATTTTTGAATTGGTTAGATAGTTGGAAAAATTTGAATTTAGCCTCTGGTTGCCTAACCAAAGAAACTCACTTTGCAGTTATCTCACAACGTATGCTTTAATTGAGATATCAAGTTATTGTATAAATGAACTGGGTTTGGTTTTTGAATACCTTTTACTTGGCAAAAATACAAACGGATATGTTAGAGGCTAGATTTGGTAAGTATAGGCAACTGGCTGGAGCTCACCATAATATTTCAATCAGACAGGTTTATGAAATAGAGGGTAAATTAAGACTTCAGAGTACTTTACCAACCTTAATAAATTCTTCAAAATTTGGAAAAATTCCTCTTCATATATCAGATTTTAAAGACACCGAAGAACAAACTTTTAATGACACTGATGTTCAAACGTTCATGAGATGAATAACAGTTGATGATAGTGACATACACGACATAAAATTGGATATACCTATTTTAACATATATAGCTGGATATTGCTGTTACAGTATCCTAAAAAAGTTAAAATGTGATGTATGTAAATCCATTATTACTATTGATAAGGAGTTAGCTTTGGAAAATGATGAAAATATTCACTCATGGATTAAGGTTTTTGATAGAGGACTAATGTATCCTCATCCTGATATTTTACATGCTGTTATATATAATTTTATTGTTGTGAAGAAACTAATTTCAGACGAATATGAGCAAAAATTTTTATTTTCGGCTAAATCCACGAGATTACAGTGTGTAAAATTACTTTAAATTTACTTCATGAAAAATTTTTTTTGGGAACTGAATGACTGTGCAAAACTTCATAACCCTCAGATTATTTTGAAAAATATCATACAATCATCAACAAATATTTTTCTAAGTAACTACTGCAAAAAGTTAAATGATAATCTTTTAAGCAATAATTTAACTAAGCAATGGAAATTGAAAACATTTAACAAATAGCTTATGTATGTAGCAGAAATGAAATATGTTATGTGTTGTTTAAAGTACAAAATAAGAGTGAAACTAACCTATTTTTTCTTAATATTTTCAGACTTAACTTGTTATTCATTTTTTTAAATAAATTTAATATTTTCTGCAGAATGTGTATAAAATGTTGAATAATAGAGTGCTTTTTCTATTTGTGTTGTGAAATCTTTGCCACTCTATTCCAAAATGCATGCACGCATACACACACAAAAAAAAAGGGAAATATTTTGCAATTATCATAGAAAAGTGCTAAAGCTTAAGGTCTCTTATTATATAATTAACTAAAGGTTTTTATCATAAACTAAAGAAATATTGATTTTTGAAGATAAAATACTTTGTCAATTAATATTACTTTCGTTTATATTTTAAAATCAATATCTTGAAATTTTCTAATCTTATTTTAATTGAAACAGACGTGTTTGTTACATTAATTTTAAACTGTAAGAAGAAAATATGTACAATTTGTAGTCAAATACAATTCCAGATGACTAATTTTTATAGATATTTACTAATATATTATTTTCATTTTATTCTATGTTTAATTATGTCAAAGAAATAAAATTTCTAGAAATATAGTTGTACGTATACAGGGGAAAATGCATCTGATAACTCTATAAAAAATAAATTAGAATAAAAAAGTACTTTCATTTCTTCTCAGCTGTAAGGCCTCATACATTTGTACTAAGTTATTTTTTCTCAAAGGGATTTACTGTAATAAAAAGTAAGTAGCATGAAGTTTATAAGCCTTCTGCAAGGGGGGACTACGTTTCATTTTCTCTCGTCTTAAGAGAATAACAGCGATAAGTGGCTTCATGTGGCATCCATGCTGTCTGTAGATAAGGACGACTTTAGTGACGTAGTGTCAGCCGTGCCGTGGCTTTGTATGTAGGAGGTACTGACTCTGCTGGACTGCTATCTGTTGCTCTCTTCTTATTGAAAATCTAGCAAAAATGTAAACATTTTTAAATAGGCACAAATAATGTTACCAAGTTGTTTGTGGCCACAACATGTTTACTGAAAATAAAATGAAAACTTAATCTGGTCTGGCTGTCAGTTTCCTGTTCTTTATGAATTAGCATTCTACACAATCAAAATTCTTCCTCTGCAATATGCCATCCACCATCTACACTATCAATATTGCCCAGTACTTTTTTATTACATGCACATGCATTTATATATACATATATATATATAGGTAAGATAATAAAGACTGTAAATCATACATACAGATATATATGTAAGATAATAAAAATTGTAAATCAAAACTCTAACTTAAATTCGGAATAGCCGCTTAACTCTTCATTTTAATTTGAGTATTCCCTCTTTCTATTCTAAAAATAGTAACTGATTATAATAAATTTTTCTGGACTGCATCATTTCTAGATTAACATGCTGACTGCCACATGAGTTTGCAAGAAAAATTTTCTTTAGGCCATGGGCACTGCTATACCATATGTCAATTGTTTCCAGTTGGTGGAGCTTAAAACGTCTAGAACGAAACATTTATCATAATCAGAATCAGAATGAAATCAATAACAACATATTCTGAATTAAGACTGTCCTGAACCTATCACACTTTGGTTCTGTTATTCAATCAAGCCAAAGTGCTGCTCGTTGCTTCTCTTCATATGGCAAACTATCAAAAATGTAAATGTTTTGACACAGGCACAATAAACATGCCAAGTTATTTGTGCCCATAAATGTTAATTAAAAAAATTAATATTAAATCTCCCATGACTGCTTCTTATTAAATCTGCCTTGGCTGCCAAGTTTGCTCTTCATTACAGATCAACAAGCAATCAACTTTTCTACATTATTATATATCAAAGGAGATAATATATTAAATTATCTACTAGAAAATAAATTATTATTTTATTATTTTTGAAGCTGTAGTACAAGTATTAGGGAATTTATTACTTATAATTACCTTATTTATTTAAAACTATATAACTTATTAGAAATGGGAAACAACTTAAAAAAAAAAAAAATATTTCTGTATTTTCACAATTATTACATTACCATTGTACATTTTACTAACCAAGAATTTAGGAAAATGTTACATCATTCTTGCTAGAAAAAGGAATTTTATCTTGCATTCGAGTATGCAAAAATAGTACAGAAAGAATGAAGGTCGTAATAATAACGAAGAACCACAACTGAACGTTAAAAGGATTAGGATTGTTGGTGATGATTGCCAACTTATTGAGCCTTGACATTTGTTACATAATAAGGACCATAAGACTATTCATTCCTAAAAAAGTAACTGTTTTTTAAAACCCACAGTTGCCAACCTTGGAAAATAAAAAACAGTAGATTTTCATGCTAAAACTGGAAGGTTTATGTACTGCATGGGGACACAATTTCAAGAAAATGCCAAATTGAATTAAATTCATTTTATAATGCATGGTTCATGTAATTGATCTATTTAATAATATGATTCTGATGGAAAGAATATTTATATTTAATTAGACACTGTAAATTTTATGTTCTGTGGCCATTTTCATTTTGTAATTTTCTGACACTTTCATGCTGAGAAAAAGGAAACAAGGAAGGAAAACTTTTATTTATTAAAGTACTTTTTAATGATTATAAAATGAATAATTTTTGTACATACTTTTGTGTGGATAATCTTATTAATGTATTATTTCCTGATGCAAAACAAAATAAAAGATTAGCCAGTAGTAGATTAAGACAGTTCAATCATTTATTGTACATCATTTTCAGTTAAATTTCTCAGTCTGATAAGGTAGACAATAAATACTTTTTGGAATGACTCAAAGCAAAAAACTGCATTGCTGTTGTTACAATATATCCCAGTTAAAATGAAGATGGCTTTTAAAATAAAGTATCATTATATACAAAATAATGACAGCTAGCCTCATATGAAGTACTGTCTAGGCCAGGGGTCGTCAACCTGCGGCTCTTTTGATGTAAATTTGCAGCTCTCCTGTTCCATACAGAAAAATTAATAATTTATTATCAAAACCCTTAAAAAATAAGAAAATATATTTTTAAGTACCTAATTTTTCAATAGCTTTCTTTTTTCATAATCGTTAATTACACTTAACATGACCGTGATGAGCTAAATTTGAACCATTGTTATTGTACTGTTAATTTGAACTATTGTTCATTTTGTCAGCTCCGCTGTCAGCATGGCAGCTAGTAAAAAAAGAAAAGAACTGAAGAAGAAAACAGAGAATTCAATCAGGATTGGGCGGAGTCATTTGCGTTCATATGCATATATATGGCCTTCCGAGTTGTCTCATTTGCCACCAAAAACTCGTACACAATAAGAAGTCGAATTTGGGGAGACACCTCACTACAATATACAACCCAGTTTGCTCGTAAATATCCAACCGAGAACGCACGAAAAAAGCTCTTGAAGAGCTTAAAAAAAAAAAAAAAAAAAAAAAAAAAAAAAAAGCAGTCATATTTCATGCTAAGTAACTGGGTACAATCTTCCAATAATGTAAATCTGCCAAGCTCTGCAGTATCATTAGAAATTGCAAAAAGAGTAAAACCATTCACGTTAAATACATCAAAGATTGTTTTATACGTGCATCTGAATTACTGTTTCATGATACTAAAATCAAAGCAGAAATCATAAAAAAATCAAAGATTTGCCATTATCTGCAAAAACAGTACAAGATAGAACTGCTAAGATGTTTTCAAATGTAACACATATGCAAGTGGAAGACATTCAGCTGGCTTCTGCCTTATCACTTGCTATAGATGAGTCTTGTGACATAAAATAAACGATACAAGTTGCCCTTTTCGTAGGGTATATGTCCTCCCAAGGTCCAAACAAAGAATTGTAGGATTGCTATCGCTCTCAGGGCAAATTCTCGTGGAGAAAATATAGTAAAGGCGTGTGCAAAAATGCCTGGAAGACAATGGAATCGATATAAATAAAATCGTTTCGATAGCAACTGACAGAGCCAGAAGTATGACAGGAATACACAGAGGAGAACATCAATTCTTCAGAAAAAAATAAACCATGAAATTCTAACGTTTCACTGTTTAATTCACCAAGAAGCGCTTTGTAACATTTCCAGCCGAAATAGTTGAGGTCATGAACTTGGTAATTAAGATTATAACCAGTTTTCTGACCTGCTTCTGCACAATAAAGTGTGATGGCTTTCCAGAAGTAACGTTCTGCAACGTTTTACTTTCTGCTTGAGTGAAATAAAGTCATTCCTCAATGAAAAAAAAAAAGCACTGACCATCCCGAATTGAAAAAAGACAAACGGCTGCAAAAATTCTACTTCATGGTAGATACCACAATGAAATTAAATGAACTAAATCTAAAACTGCAAGGAAAGGGCAACCCAGCCTACACCTTACTTGAAGTAGTTTGTTTAGAAAACAAATTACTTATTTTTGTTGAAGACATGGAAAGCGGTAAATTTAAAAAATCTGAAGTATATCGCAAGGAGACCAATGCAACTATTGACACGAATTACTTCAACATAGCTTTAAAAAAATGAAGGATGGATTCGCTGAGAGATTCGAGCAATTCAAAACAGACAAAAGTACTCTTGCGTTCATAGTAAATTCTCTCAATGCAAATACTGAATGATATCAACAATTTTGTAATTGATGCTGGATTGCTTCAAATGCAACTGCTATATTAGAAAACCAAAGACTTGTGGAGTGGCAAGTTCACAGAACTCAAGAGAAAGTTGGAAGAGTTTGAGGTCCAGAAAAGCATGCACATCGAGCAGCACAAGTCGAAAGCTTTAAAGCTAGAGAAATTCCGCGAGTTGAGGCTCTCATATTCGGCACATGGAATAGTTTTCCAAAATGGTACAGTGAGGTGAAGAAGTTGGCATAAGGAGTACTGACGATCTTCGGGTCAACATATTCGTGCGAGCAAGCATTCTCTTGCATGAATATAATAAAAAGTAATGTTTGAAGTCAACTAACAAATAAAAATCTAGAGTTGTGCTTGAAACTTAAAACAACAAGTTATAAGCCAGATTTAATCAATCATCCAAAAGGCATGCAAAGCCAATGCTCCCATTGATGTAACTGTCTATATTTGTGTTTATATATACATATAATTCTGTACTTAAAGCTGTTTATTTTAAGTCAGAAATCAACTATATATAAGCAAAACTATAATATTGAAACGAAACTTTTCAGTGGCTCTTTAAAAACTGGGAAATTTTGTAAATTGTAACTTTGGCTCTTCTGTTTCAAAAGGTTGCCCACCACTGGTCTAGGCAGATAGCCCTCAAGGCTTTGCTATAATTAAATAACCTAACCTAATGAAGTACTGTAAGTAACAATAGACAGAAATAGCAAGTAGAAATTGCTATGGATATAATTTTTAGAAACATTTTCTTTTTTGCCCTTTGTTTTTTTTCATGAGATATATTGCAAAAACAATAATGATATATTTGTTAGATAGTTTTTTGTATTCAGGTTTTTATCTTACTCTAACAGTTTGCAAAATGTTTATTTTCATGAGTTAATAATCTGAAAACATATAACAATTACTTCAAAACCAATATATATTGTAACAGACACATTTACAAAGAGGAAAAATGAAGTAAAATTCCAAAAAGAATCCTTAAAACACATCAAAAAAGGGAAAATGGGCCTTATCTGGCATAACCAGATCTGCTAAGAAACAAACTGTTCCAGATAGTCCTTCATATAAACTGAGGGGTTTGTCAGGTACACGTGCTTTCTTAAATTCATTTTCAAATAAAAAGTTGCCAAACTGTACAGCTCGATGCAGATGCTTCTTGTCATTAGTTAGGCGATACAGCAGAAGGAAAACATAGCCACTTCCTGCAACACCATGACATATTCCTGGCCCTTTTTTTAGTAGACCTTTTCGCCACACTATTTCTCCACAGGATAAACAAGACTGCAGATATTTATCTTCTTTCCATCTCAAAAATGCTTTTGCCATTAAATATACCACTCCTAGCAAAAGTAAGAAAAATTACATATATATATCATAAATAATAAAAAAAGCCCCTATTCTACTAAGTATACTTAAATTTAATTAAAAGATTTCATGATATTTACATATTGTTACAACCACCAACTGAGCAGTGGAAGTTGTCAAATTTATGTGCACAATCTTTCAGTCAAACCATGTTGTCATTTTTGTATATGTTCCTTTCATTGTATTTTAAGTTCCATCAGTTTTTATAGAGAAATCATGATATTTTTACTTGATTTTTTATAATATATGTTTGTGGAATTTTCCAGAAATGGATCAAATAGCAGTAAAAACTAGAATTTCTGATATACATTTTCGTGCGCTAAATATAAAATTGTTTCTATCCGTACATGTTTCCACTGTTCACTTTTAACAGGCTTCGTACACATTTCTGCACAAGGAAATTAAGTACTTTTAAGGACCATTCTCATTTTGTCACATACTTGCTCAGCCTAGAGGTTTAGTAAATAGTAATTAGATTTTTATGTCAGCAGCATAGGTTAAAATGAGCATTAATGAGCAGCATGATTCATAACAAACGACTGGCTGTTGTTACCTCTCCAACTCGCGAGACCTGCTGATCAGAACAAATCTGAAAGGCCTGATGTAGGCACAGTTAGCAAGTTTTGAAAGTTAGCTGACCTCTGTCTGACGCTGCTAGTGTCGTTGCTTTGTGTAGAGTTCCAGAGGTTGTAACTCAGTTAATATACTTTAAGGTTCTATTAAGCCACTAAAGCATTAGCAGTGATAAGTTGTTTTGCATTAAGTCTCACTAGATGCAAAGAATAAGTTTCACGTGAATTTTTATATTTTTGTGTTTTACCTTGTGACCATGGTAAAGGTTTAACATGTAATTTACATAATAATAACTGTACGTATCTTTGAAGAATAATTTTCTTTCTCTTTACATATTTAGTTTATTTTTTCAACATGTTTCCTTTTCACTTTAAATTTTTGGGATTTAATTAAAGACTTCTGTTATTCTAAAAGACTAAATACATTTAGAGTGTATGGAAAAAGCTGCTAATTTCATTTCTTTAGTTATACGAACACTCAGAAGAAATATGAAATACATATGGTAAAGTCTGGTCACAGAGCTGGTGTGGCACAATTTTTAGAATTTAGGGACACACTGAGCAACAAAATCTAGAAGGCAAACACTTTAGAATTTTAGGCAGGCTTGGAAGCAGAATTTAGAAAGGCAACCAGGCATCAGAATTTAGGATCCACAGAGATTGCGTCAGGTGACAAAATGCCTAGCGCCAGCTCTGTGTATGATGATTAAGACATATTAGATGAATCTTTTGAATTGTCAGCTTTCAATTTCTTTATTAAAAAACAAAAAAAAAAAAAAAATATTTCTATAATGCCTGTCCATATGATAAGATTAGAAGTACTTTTGATATTGTCCATGCTTGTATCCAGTGAAAAGTAGAGAAAATAAAGGGAAGATAAAAATGTTAAGAAAGCGATTCTAGAATCAGAAGTAAAACATTCAACTATTATGTTTTCATTGTTCTTCCAGACGTTCTCCAAAATGTAAGAAACTGCATGTTACTACCATGGAGACATTTTTCATTTTATCATATTTTTCTGGAAACTTTTAGAACCGTGGGTCTGTAAATTTGCCTTAAAATCTTTATAAACTTTCCAAGCTTCAATGTCTAAAATCCTAAAGAAAAATTACCCCTGCCAATTCTGTAACAGCAAAAAGCCAGAAATGTTTTTTTAAAAAAAATCGGAGGAAAAAGTGTGAAATTAATTTTATAGAGAAAACTGATGCATTTTCTGAGAATTCTGAGAAATGGGAAAAATTCTTACCATGAAAAAAAATTAAAAAGACATTTTTAATTAATTACATAGCTATTTTGCTTTTGCTAAAAACTGTTTTGTAAACTCTGCTAAATAACATTATTCCTTGCTTATTTTTCATATTCAAAAAATTTTATATGTGGCCAAAATGGAACTTTATAATATGACAGTGAAAAATAAAAATGCTTTATTTTAATATTATTTCTTAAATATAATTCCAATATTTACCATTATTTTAATGAAATTTATCAACGTTAGAATGTTCTAAAAAAATCGTCAAAAAATTCCCAGATCTCGGAATTAAAAATTTTCTTTAGAAACCGATTTTAAAATCGCCAAATTTAGAACCGTTTAATAAAAGAATTCACATCCCCAAAAGCGGAAAGTTGTTTGAGAGCTCTTCATTACAAAAAATGAAATAATTTTAAAATACTTATGTTTCACTTCTTGCTCAAAAACTCGAGTATCCCACCATTATATTTATATTACAAATAGGAACAAATTATAACTCATGAACCCATTCAAAAAATAGCCATATTTGTCAGTGAATCGCCAAAAATATTCCTGCAAAACGCTAATTCACACCCAAAATGGCAGTCATAAAAACAGACAGAAATTTCAGATAATTAAAATTAAGGACCTTCTGCCAATTTTGGCCAAAATTAAGGACTTTTAAGGACCAAAAATCGATTAAAAAAACTTTAGGACTCTTGGCCTCCCTTTTAAGGTGATCTCTACAGAGCATTACAACTAAAGTTTGTTTACACTTAGAATCACTAATTAAGAAACTTTTCGTGAAATTTGGCAGAAATATAAAGCAATAGGTCAGTTTTGGAATCACAAGTTAGAATCAAGTTTGGAATGAAATTTACTTAAATATCATATTTTAAAAAAATTAGTTTGAAATACGTAATTTTAATGTGTAGTTTGGAAAGCCATCAATAGATGGCGTTACGAGTTAAAATTTATCATTGTAATCCTATTTCTGCAAAAATTCACAAAATAATTGATTTTTATACCAGTTACAAATCAATCATTTTTTCTCTGTCAGCGGAAAGATGTTTACGGCAACCCTATTGCATTGCTATTCCACACTCGTTTGTTTACATTTATTTGTACTGTGGTCAGTTACAATAAATATGCGTAAAACTATCAAGGATAGACCGAAGAAAAATCCTGAGTTGGAACAAACGATCAACGAAATTGTCGTGCTCAAGAAAAAAATTAAATTCCCGAGATGTGGAAGATTCCGAACAAGCAGGATGGTTTTCGAGAGGTGAGAAACAATTTATTCTTTATATCGACTACTTCGTGTTTATGATTTCGTAGTAAGTTAATTCCGAAGTAAAATGTTCTTATTTTTTTATTTTGAAGGTCAGAAATTATTGATACAACTGCATCTGTGTCAAAGGAGAATCATTGCCCGGATGATTTTTTTTCAAAGTAAGTTTTTTTTTCCCCCCTTTTTTTTTTGTATTAGGGGGATGGTAGGGGATATTAATATTCAATTCTGTTATAACAATTTATTCCTTCCATTCACACTACATTGTTGGGAAATATTGAAAAGGGTAAATTCCAATCTTCACAAGGAATTGCTGAAATAAATGAATCTTTTCAAAAGTATGAGCATGTTCTTGTGATCTAAATTGAATTCACCATCATTACATGGTATGGGAAACTTTATAGTAATTTATTTGCTACAAAATGCTTTTTCTCCCACCCCTAATTCATTTAATTAAAATCACTGTGTCAGTTACCTATGGTATATTTTTACAGGTGTATGCACATTGCAATCATGTGCTGGCTGTTCAACTCGCTTTATTTTTATTATGTCATTTACTTGGATGTTAAAACTTTATTTTAGCGTTGGAACATTTTACAGTCTTTTAGTAAAATTTATATATAAATATATATTATTGCTTGTTTACTTATGGTTCTGTGTATTTGTCATGTATGCATGATGTGAAGTGTAGTTTTTGAAAAATATGTCACAGAATGGTAAATTCCACCAAAAGTTGAATAGATATTGGGATGCAGGTAATCAGAAAATATCTGCCGTGTCTTTTGAGCGTATACCATACTAGTGCCAAGAATGGGACCAATACGTTCATGCTTGCTTTCTAGCCTTTTTGCCATTGTCCAGACTGAATTATCTCTAGTGAAAAGGGAATGAATGCTTTCTCTGTATACATTAAAATATCTGCCTGACCAATAATCTACCAATAAGAAACATTTTATATGTTATGTGACAGACTTTCTGCAAACAGAAGTCCTCAGCTCTGTTCTTGTACATGTTTTTTAATTGTGGTTCAGATGTGTACTTCTCAAAGGAATTCTTCTCGTAGGAATATTGACTGAACATTTAAAAAATATATTCTGCTTTTAAGGGCCTAATATTTAAGGTGGGAGCTTCCCTTTTTTATGTTTGTATTCATTACTGCATGATTTGCTATTTGAATTGCTTCCAACTATAAGTAATTTTTGTTAATTTTTTTTATCAATTACTAAATGCCTGTTTAGATCAACATATAACTATCTTAAAATCGATGAGGGGACAGAAGAGGCTGCTGCAAACAGATTCAAGTTGGAAATCCATCTGATTTCAGATTTCAGTCCTGTAGTAAAGTAACACCATAGATAAAGTCAAAAACCTTATTGTTATCACAATTGTAGAATTAGCAGCAAACATTGTTAATCTTAAGACACAATAACATGCTGAACAAATACTAATTCAGAAGTCAAACAACAAAAAACGTTATATTTTCAAATTTTCACAGGACAATTATCGATGGTTTTACCGAACACTGCAAAAGCGCAAATGAACGAGCTAGGATATAATCATTATATCCTAATATAATGGCAGGCCTTCGTGGAGGAATTTTCTGAAGGCTTAGATTAGTTTATTATGGCAAAGCATAGTAGAATGCCTTCATGTTGGATTTTCTTAGAGAAATTGTCTCCCTATACACGTCCATGGAGAAAACTATGAAAACATTCATGCACCAGTCCGTTAGCCTTGATTCGAATCCAGGTCAGAACTACCAGCGTTCAGTGATTTAATTCCTCTACCGTGGGAGGGAGGGCCTAATTGCTGAAGGGAACTGGCTCGTATTCATGTTACACACAGAAAAAAACAAACAATCCAGCCAGCTGTTTCGTCTGGCATTGAACCCAAACCAGTTCGAACTTCCAGTATTCAGTAGTCTTAACCACTCGGCCACTGGTGGTGTGTGGGTAGGAGCCACAGATAATGTAGTGAGCAGCAAAAATCCCTAATAGTGGCCCTGGTTTACTAGTAGGAATGTAAATATATTGGTAATCATTAAATCTACAGCAATGAAATTTCGGAGCTTAATTGTAAAGTCAAATGTGACACTCCGATAAACATGGTATATGTAGAGATACTAAATTTTTGTCCTATGTTGTTGAAAAAAAGATGGATTTATTTCAACAACATAGGCCAAAAATTTAGTTGATCTGTGCCCGTGAGTCCGTTGGCAGCATCGGACAGCGTAATTTGACTAACAAAAAGATCATGCTTTTGGTATCTGGTGGGATTGCCGTGGTACTAATCACAAATGAGATGCTGTTGACAGTGCATGTTGATGCTGCTATCAAGGAAAAGAGTCAAACTGAGTTCCGGCGAAGAATAATGTTCCATCAAGATAATACCATAGGTGTCTTCATTCACTGGCTGGCCTCTGTACGGACTCGAAAGGGATCTTTCACCACACCCCACCATATAACCCCGACATCCCCGCACATTCGCACTTCGGACTTCTTTTTTTCAAACTTGCAGCTACATCTTGCTGGTCCTATCTTCCATTTTGCACAGGACGTCCGAAATGAGGTTGACCTGTTTTTGGACTCGGGCCACCAAGTTTCCGGACCGAAGGTTTTGAAAAACTACCAAAAAAGTGGCAGAAAAGAATAGATTTTTTGTAGTGATTACTACCCGCACTAAAGGTACTGACTGCTTTTTTTTCCATAACTTTATGAACGACGTTCGTGCTTAAAATTATCGTTACAACCATTAAATTTTGTAATTTATGAATTCCTTCCCACTTCTCATGTATTTATCAGCTGTACTTTATGAACCTGATACTTCCTACAATTATCAGCTGTACTTTATAGATCTGATATGTAGAAACGCAATTTGATTTTATGCATTTCAGTATCAAGTGAAATCTTTAAACTAATCGTTCATTATAACACTTTATGTTGTTTTCATTCAAAGCTGAACTCAGATAATGTGCCGAGGTTGAACTACCAGTAATCAGCGCCTTTAGCCACTAGAATTTAGAGAGGAACTGAGTGCTAGAATTGGGTTAGGCTCTTTGAATATAGCAAAGCCACGAGGTGGCAGATAGCAGATGCCTTCGTGGAGGAAGTTTCTGAAGGCTTAGTTTAGTTTACTATGGCAAAGCACACTAGGATGCCTTCATGGTGGACTTTCTTAGAGAAACTAACACCCCATACACATTACACATGGGGAAGATTATGAAAACGCCCATGTAGCCAGCCCGTTCGCCTTGATTCGAACCCAGGTCGGAACTACCAGTTCAGTTCAGCGATTTAACCGCTCGGGCGGGGGTGAGCCTAATTGCTGAAGAAAACTAGCTCGTATTCATGTTACACATGGGGAAAACAAACCATGCAGCTAGCTGGTTCGCCTGGGATCAAACCGAAACCAGGTCGAATTTCCAGTAATCAATACTTTTAAACCACTCAGCCACTGGCGATGCGGGCAGAAGTAGGAGTCACAGATATTGTAGTGAGCAGCAAAATCCTCTAATACTGGCCCTGGTTACTAGTAGGATTATATATTGGTAATCATCCAATCTACAGCAAGGAAATTTCGGAGCATAATTGTGAAGTCAAATGCGACATTCTGATAAATGTGATATATATATAAAGATGGAAAAATTTTTAAAAAAGGAAACTATGCAAATACATGTATTTATTAGTAAACATTTTATAAAATTTATTCTTACTTTAGCATTTATGAATTCTCAGAGAATTATCTCATCGGAGTATTTTTTCCTCCTCTGGTAATCCAATATAATTGAGTTTATGTGCTGTAATATCTTTGCCTGTAATGAACAGTTTTTTTTCATTCAAAGTTAGACAAAACTGAACGTACGTTACACTGAAATTACTTTGTCTAAAAAGTAAGCGCTTGGGTAGAAACATATGCAGGGTTTCATTTTTAGAAGACATGAGATCACTTTCTGTAAAAGTATGTTATAAAATTTTGAATTTGAAATTAGCGTACTTCATTTCCAGTAGCGCAGAATGATAAAGATTTAATGAGAATACAGCAAAGCATCTTTTTAGAATGCTATTTTATTTTTTTTATGGTAGGTCAAGGAAAAAAGTTATTTTATTTTCTATGGTAGGTCAAGGAAAAAGGCAGGCTGACAGTAACAGCACCTTGCTCTGTTTCATATATAGCGAATCCGCTCTGAAATGAGGCACGAAGCGATAAAGTAGCTGAACACTAGTAGTTCGGTCCAAGTTTTGAATCACGCGAAGGGACTGGCTTCATGCGCGCTTTCAAGGTTTTCCCATGTGTAACGTATATAGGAGCCAATTTCCCTAACAAAGTCTTCCACGAAGGCATCCTTTCCCTTAGGCAGATAGATCGTACCGATGTTTATGTTATCAACAGTACTGATTATTTTCGAAAATCCTAGAAAATGGTCATCCTAGAAAGGTAATTGCCAAAAAGTATTCACTACGCTTATTTATACGTTATGCATGAATATACTCTTTTTAGTCAATCTAACATATATAAATTACTAATGCTTAAAACACATTCAATTTTTAATACCCTGTTTCCTATTTGTTCCCCTTTAATGAAACAGATTCATACACAGCAAATCCAAATGCACCTCTACAGGAAAAGGATAAACCAGCTCAGTATGTAATTAGAGTTCCGGAAAAGAGTATACATATAAATATATATACATATATATACATATATATATGGTGGGTGAATGGTACTCTCCCATTTCACGTTTTGGCAGATGGTTGACGAAGCTGGGATGATTGCACCACAGAGAAAAAATACGACTCAGGATTTTTCACTTTTAAACAGTATCTTTATTTTATTTTAGAGCAGATGATTTTTTTCTAGATGAAGTTACTCAAATAACTATTCAATAATTGAATTATTAGATATGACTACTTTAATACATTATAAACGTTCTAACAAAGAAGAGGAGCATAGCGAGGTTTAGCAGAACAAAGGCGAGAAGCATCTGTGTAGGAGAACTTTGACGCAACATTTATATGAAAGGTTATGTAACAGAGTAGCTTCTAGAAAAATGTAGAAAAACTTATGAAGCAGCATTTATATGAGGATGTTATGTAATAGGCACGAATGTTCTAGAAGGTACTGGTCTAGGGGAAAATCCTGAATTGCAGAAAATTAATTAAAGGTTGCTGGATCGCAAAGAGCAAAGCCATCGTATTTTTTTTATATTTTACATCTTTCCCCCCATCAATATATATACTGTATAATGTTTTTTCCGAATGTATATATAATACATATCATTTTACTTTACTAAAATATAATATTCAATTTTGTAATTTAGGAATTTCTTCCCCCTTTTCATGTATTATCAGCTTGTACTTTATAAACCTGATACTCCCTTCAATTATCAGCTGTATTTTTATAAACCTGAAACATAGAAACGCAATTTGATTTTATGCATTTCAGTGTCAAGTGAAATCTTGAAACTGATTGTTCATTATAACACTTTGTGTAGTTTTCATTCAAAGCGGAACTCAGATAATGTGCAGCAAATTATTTTCACACTAAGGTTTTGTGAAAATAATACGTCCCGCTAGTGATTTTGTAATAAAATGCATGCTAGTAATTGATTTCTAATTTTCGTTGCATCTTGATATTGCTGCCAAAGATACTTGATCAAGAATAGTATCTTTTACTACGCTTATGTGTATGGATACATAGACTATTTCTCCGTGTACTAGAAAGATTTGATAATGATTTATCCACTTTTGAATTAAAAAAATATAGCTAGGAGTGTTATACGATTTTATAATACAAGTAAAAAATATATATAAAGCTCTGCAAAGTACTTACACATATTTATGGAATATTATGGATGGATGAGTAAATGGTTATGTGCATGCTGAATATGTATACACATATCATCAAGTATCAAATCATTTATATATAATTTTTATGTTGCAATGAAATTACCGAAATGCTTAAAAATCTAGTATTTTTAAAAACTATTTTCTTCCGCAGAATAAAGGCAAATTATAAAACATTACACAACATTGAAAAGCATGATGAACAAATTTTGTGAAAAGGAATTGTGACTGCTGCACGTATCTCACAGATATCTTTCATTCAACACAAAAGTGGAAAAGTTCTATTCCTGGTCAATCATACCCTGCAGTCTGAGTCATAGACGGAAGAAATGACAGCAGGTCTTTTGTTCAACTGAGGGGATGTGTTTAAATGTTTTATGGCTTAATCACTTTCCCACCAAACGAGTACAGAGAAAGAGAAGCATCGTTGCCATAGTAAACAGGCTGTAGGTAGTCTTACAGATTTGACTTTTTATCACTCAACATTCGTAGTGCCATCTGTTATTAAAAATCGACATGAGAAAGGGGTATTAAACCCTCTTAAGTCACTGAGTTTGTTAAAAATTCAAGTTTTACAAAATATGAAATTCGGGCTACATTCATGCAGATTCTGCATTATTTAATTTCTTTAAAAGTAATACAAGGTGATAATATCTCATGATAACAAATTGAAAAGTAATTCAGACATTTAAAGTGATATGCCACCAAATCTCATTTCGAGACTAACAGCCTATTTGAGTTAATGCCTTTTGTGCTGATAATTTTTCTATAAAAATAAAAGTATGACTGCTAATTTTATATCCTTACCTGGTGCTCCATGACACCAGTGCACTAATTCATCTGACTCGGCTCTGGGGCGTTTCACTTCATCCATGGCACAGGGAAAATTTCCAGATGCAGTTTGGAGGCTAAGTAGGAAGTCCACAGAGCCTTTAACTTTTTGTTCAGCTTCTTGATTAGCATCCAGATAATTTGGAAAACTTAAAAGCATCTGAAGTATACCAGATAGACCATGGGCAGCACCTTAAATTATGTATTTTTAAATATTAATCACATTACATAACATACCTTTCGCATATGATTTTCATTATATATAAGCTTTGAAACAAGTTAAAAACTTTCTAAATGTTCTTAAAAACATTTTAAGGTTTCCTGGAAGCATCAATGCATCGGATGAAAAGGAAATTGATTTTATACTTCAGTTTTAATTTACATTAATAAATAAATTTTCATTTTTGAAATGTGCATGATTTTCTACTTACTTTTACTTTTACTATACGAAGTATTCAAACAGTCTAGCAAATAAACAAATTCTTACACTAAATTATATATCTTACAAATTTGAAAAGCATAGTTACTAATATACTGCCTTGTTAAAGTGGCCACCTCAGTCAGTTGCCAAAATTGGAAGATTATTTGTTGGAAAAGATAAACATAATCGGCAGATTTTTTAACATGCAATTTGTTTAATTTTCAGAATTTTAATAACAAAGTTGCAATAGTGAGTTAAATACAAGTGAATCGGCTAGTTAGGAGATTAAAATTTCAAGAATTTTTTACTAATCATGTAAATATCATGTACTTGACTAATCACATAAATCATGTTTGACTAATCATGTAATATCATGTATGATGACTAGAGTTTGGAACGAGCTTGATACTCGATAATTTTTGGTCATTTTAGAGTACTCGATACTCGAATGAAAGCCCAACGGGCTTTCGAGCTCGGTACATACAAAATGTTTTTCGTTCTGCATTATATTTTTTAAATAATTTGTCAACATATTTAAGAATCCTAGAAGACATTTTATTGGTGTCATAAAACTGCTCCCTTTTAAGTACATAATAAATTAAAACTTTTGTAACTGTATTACAGATAAGTAAATTTAAACAATAAAAGGATTATAAATATATACAGTAAAATAATGCTTTTAATTTTACCAGTACTTTTACCTGAACAGTGTTGAAACTTGTTTTGGTAAAGAGATGAATTTGTTGCTGCCTACAGTACAGTACATAGAAATGCAAGGATTTTTAATCTTTACAGATAGAAACAATATACTTTTAATTTTTAGTAGTAACATGTATGTAATATTAAATAATGATTTTCTTAGTTAAAAAAACAAAATTACAAATTGTTGAACATTGAAAATGCTGTGTTTTGCGAAACGAATATTTATCAGAGAGTAATATGCAGAGAAATACACGCAGAGACACAAGCAAAAATACACTGACTTGTGTCGAATGGGAAGAGAGTGACAGTGCGCGTGAGCGCGCTTTTTTACTCAGCATCAGATAAAAGAATGTCTGGAACAACAAAAGGATGTTAAAAAGAATTGAGATAGTAGAATGGGATATTTCACTTAGCGAAGAAAGATGTAATGAATGAAAATAGACAAGCAATGTGAAAAAAAGTTGGATCAGTAAGGTAATAAGTACTTCAAGTAAAGCAGAAATATAAACAGAGATACAAGCAGATCATGTTTTAACAAATCATAAACAAATATAATGGGATTAAGTTTCGGAATACTTCGGACCTGACAGAAAGCTAATGCATCAGACGTGACAGAAAGCTATATTTCCTTTTAACCAATAAGAAAGCAACTACTAATATCTCAACACAAATTTAGTCAAAATTTTCGCAATATTTTGGTAAAAATGGTTAATATTATTGGAGTTACAGGCGTGAATACATGCACATTCTAGAATAGTATTTTCTATTTTTTCTAGAATAGTAATCATGCCGAAAAACAAAAGATCAACCGTTTAGAGTCATTTTGCCAAGGCAGACCAAAATTATGTATGTTGCAATGAATGCAATAAAAAAACTTCCATTTTAAATGGAAATACAATGCGTCATTATCTAAGCAGCATTCATAACATTGACGTTGACAAAGCAGAAGCAGAAACGACAGTAAAAAATACAAAAACTTTGGATAATTTTGCAATCAAAACATCAATTGAAGATATTGTTGCAAAAATGGCTGCAGTAGATGGTTTATCAATTCGTCAAATCACTTAGTCAGAGTTTATTCAACAATCATTGGCCTTAAGAGGTATGAAGCTTCCAGACAATGAAAAATCAGTAATGGTTCTTGTTCACAACCATATGGAAACTGTGAAACAAAAAAATCAAAAATGATATTAAAAAAGATATTACCGAATCAAAGACATTCTCCCTTACCATGGATGAATGGACCAGCATCAGTAACCAGAGATTCCTGAATATAAATCTGCATACTGCCTGCCAAAAAAGCACCAATCTTGGACTGGTAAGAATTTTTGGAAGTTGCGATGAAAAAAAAAAAAAAAAAAAAAAAAATGCAAGAACTTGTAGAAGAGCACCTCGAATCTTTTGGTCTATCATTTAAGCACGATATTGTATCCAGCACTGGGGATGGAGCAAGTGTTATGATCAAGTTCGGAAAAGAATCACTCGCTTTTATCAAACATGTCTTGCGCATGCCTTGCATTTGGCTGTTAAAAAAACTTTTTATAAAGAAAAATCAGAGACAGAAGAAAGTATAGACAAAAGTTTAGGAGAGTCTGATGATTTTGATGATATTGACAATGGTTTGAGCATTAATGAAACTGAATTACAGAATGAATCATTCAAGAAAAACATATATTGTGAGACAAGTTGTAATTTTTTCCAAAAATTCTGTCGTGCATTCAGATTTGTTCAAGTCTAAATGTAGAGAAAAATTACATATAGAGCAACAACTCTCTCTGGATTGTAAAATCAGATGGAATTCAATGCTGAAAATGCTTGAAACATTTGTAAAATTAGACTAGAAGAGAAACACGCTAATGTGACAATCAAAATCATAAAAACAACCTTGTATTTAGCGTAAGTATATTGAAACACTCAATCGATTTCGAGGGCAGCTAAAGGTCCCTCCTCATCAGGAGAAAGAAATACTACTACCAGAAAGAAAAAATAAAGGGGGAAGGAGTCTCAGAAACACGTGGTCCTTATCAGCACTGCACGTGGTTATAACCGGATTTTTAATCAGAGTTACACTGGCCGCCTACTTTTAGTGAGTCAGGCTATCTGATCAAACATGTAACACAAAGGACAAGAAAATTAGCGAAGTTAAAAATAGGGAGCGAGAGGCAACTGCACCTTCACACTCAAAATCTGAACTTTGAATAATGGAAAGCAACCACTGAACGGATTTTTATACCCTCTGGTAGTACCAAGCGCGAGAAGGTAACACCATTTATCGGCAAAAATAGTAACTGAATTAAGATAGTAGAATTTTAAAGGCATTAGGAAGGACAGGATTGGACTTAAAATCATAACTAACATTTGTATAATTGTATGACCTTACAAAGGATGTACTCATTGAACTTGGATCTGAACATCTTTTAACAAATTTAAACCTGGAATTAATAAAATAGTCTCGGCGTTAAAACCAACTGAAGCGGCACTTAATGCTCTGCGTGAAAAATAATCCACTTTACGAACAGCATACATTTCTATCAACTTTATGCGAGAGAGACTGAACAAGAATCTGAAATAAGTACTTCTCTTTCTGAAAATATCGATTTTTACATCAACAGCAGGATCAACAAAAACATCATAGATTTGATTAATTCACTAAACAACTTAAATAAAACACCATCAAAAGCTTCTATAGAACTAGCAGCTGCTTTGATGAAGCATTTATTTCCATCATCAGATTCATCACCAAATTCATCAAATGAAAAATCAAATAGTGAAGCAGAAAAACTACCAAAGTTGGTGCTTCTCTTGAAGAACAACTTAGAATACTATTAGAAGCTCCAGCCAGCAAACTACCGGAAGGTGACCACTTAAAAGTCAAGAATTTACTTTGTCAAAAAGTAATGGTGAACGGACTGTAAATTTAAAGCGGTCACTTGAAGCAATTTACAGTATAAAACCAACGTCGAATGATTCTGAGAGGGCATTTTCCGTTGGCAACAATTTTTGCACCAAAATTAGGTCAAAGCTATCAGATAAATCACTATATACACTGGTGTTTTTAAAATATTTTTTCATTAATATAAATGCATAAATAAATGTATAAGTAAAGAGAAAGTTCCTTTTAAATTTCTAAAAAATATTTTTTTAATTATAAGTCTTTCGATAATGTAAGTATGTCAACTTCAAATGTTCGAAAGCCCGAAATAACAATCAAGCTCGAGCTTCAAATCATTCAGCTTTACCAAATCCTAATAATGACTAATCGTGTACCTGCATAACTTTATAAAATTTATAATATAACTTCTGTTGTATCAGAAATTTACCCTCAGTTCTCTTCGATACTGACATGATTTTCTAACTGTGTGTAATTTCTTTATATCTCATACTTGTAAATAATGATATATATTAAAAGCAACCTTTATTAAGTATATAAAAGGTAAACAGAATTATTAAACTAAATAAATTTAATACAAGTATAATACGGCAAGATAAAATACAGTCATGTAAAGAAAAATATGTCTTGACGGCAAACCGGCCACGGTGAAATGGCGACGCCGAAAAGTCCTAGACCTGTATAGTAAACCTTGGATTTCATCCAAATTCTAAAAATATAATTCTAAATAAATTGGACATTTTTATCAAGTTGGGATGGCTTCAGATAATTGTCTCAATAGAAACTTCGGTACTTATGGAAAATCCCGTCGACCACAAGAGACGGTGCCAACCATGCCAAACAAAAAAAAAAAAAAAAAAAAAAAAAAATTACTAAATACAGTAAAAAGTGTTCTATTCTTATTTTTCTTTCAAGTTCATTATATTTAATTTTTCATTAAAAATTTCCATAATTTTTTATTAAGGAGCTATACTGTAAAAGCAATTATTTTTGCTAGGCGCCATTTCGTGGCCAATAACACACTTTTTTTAGGCCGGTAAGATGCTATAACTTTGGAAAAATTCAACAGCATGCTCTTCTGTAGTAGGCAGATCCCAAATTTAAATTTTTTTTTTTTTTAAATGCATGATAGAGGGGGGGGAGGAGTTTTTACCAATGATAACTAATATGTATAATCAAGGTTACACCAAACCCAGTGTGTTTGAAGAAGACTTTCCATTTTTGGTGAAAAATCACGTAGTTTGGTGTTTTTTCTTTAATAGGCAAAAATGGTCAACAGGATTTTCCATAAGTGCCAAAACTTCTTATTATCAATCAAATGTAGAGAAAATCACAGGAAAAGATATATGGAAATGCATTAAAAGTTTGTATACAAAGAATCACTGCATAAGAAAATTGCCTTCAGGTTAATGAATATTATAATTAATTACTCCATTAATCAGCACTGTATTAGTTAGTTGCTGAAACACTAAATTCAAAATGCTAAACGTCAAAAATAGGATTGTAAATAACAAAAGAATATGTGAAGGAAAATAGTAGTTATGCAAATGCAGAACCAGGCATAAACCTTAAATAAGCAAATATGCACTGAAACATACATATGGCAAATGCAAGAACAGAATTTAGTGCATTGAAAACGTATTTTTTACAAATCATGAATTGCTAAACTTAGAAAATAAGACTGCAATGTAATATTGTAATGGAACATATATTCCATTACTGGGACATTGAAGAACCTTTATTCTAGACTTCTTATAACAGCAGTTCCACACCTGTAATACTGTACTTGGATATGACAGCTTAATCAGGGACACATGAAAAAATTATCACAAATGGTAGAAAATAACATTAGCTCTAATAAATGGAGCAAGAAAAGGAAAATATTTAGAAAGTTAAAATTTGTCATCAAATGACAGGAAAAATAATTTCTGCTTTTATTCTTTAAATAGTTTTTGACTCATTCATGCTTGAAAACCGTCTTAAAAAAGGGCATATTAGCTGCTTCAAGGCTCATTAAATGTAATGAGGCTTGAAGAACACTTCCAGATTACTTTACAAAGATTGCTTTTAATGATTAAAAAAAAATTAGATATACCGTATGACATAATGTTGTTCCATTTATATTCAAGTGTAACAGCTATTAGCATTTACTTAAATTCTGAATCTTATTTTTCAGTTTCGTGTGAATGAAGTTAAATTTTAATTTACTAACTTTAAGTTTAGTAGTTTAGTGTAATAGAATAGTTTCCAGAATGTTTAATTTTATCTTTAGACCTCATGAATAGTCAATAAATTCATATATTCTGTTCTACAAAAACTGACATAAAAAATACAGTCAAAAGTCGTTAATTCGGACACCCATAATCGGGAATGATCTATAATGCAGACCTCAAAGCTACAAACTTTCTGCGCATGCATTGGTTTGACGCATGCCCGTAAGACCTTTACGGCTGCAAATATGCGTATGCGCGAAATACGTTTACGAATGCACGTTTAATGTATAATGGACGGTATAAGCTAAGCTGAAATTATCTAATTCAGTTAATGTTGCAGATTGCGTTGTTCCTCGATCTTCGAATTGGATACGGCTTATTATTTTTTGCAGACTGCTGGAGCAATTTTATAAAAGTAAGCTTGAACTTTCGATTATGTCAAATAGAATTTCCGATATATATTTACTAAGATTTACAAAGCGAAAGTATGTTTCGCTTTGAAATTAAACAAAAAGTGGAATTGCTGCAAAAATGGATAACATAATCCTTTGTTTATCTAACCATTCCGAAATCTGTTTATCAATTTCACGCTGCTCTGCGGTGGCGGGGGGGGGGAGGGAGCCACAGCACGCAATGAATTGGAAATTGATCTTTCAGCACTATCCTTATCTTCAGGGCAGATGTTATTATTTCATTTGGCTTATAATTCCTTGCTAAATGTAGTATTTCATCTGGATGTACTCCGTCTTTGATATGATTTAACTCAAATTCCTCATCATTATAATTTGCTTCCGATAGCGAAGAAAGTGACACAGAGGTTATTGAAAAATGAAAAAATTTCGATTGACAAATTAGTCGGTATTCGCGACACAGCAATTATAGGACTTGAACAGCGGAACTTTGTCACAGAACAAGAAATTATGTCTGTTTATAGAATTAAAGAGAAAGTATTATCACATAAAACGAAGCAACTTAAACAACTTACATTGAAAGAAATGTTTAATAAAGTAAACAAATAAATATTAAGCCTTTTTTTTCTGTAAATTTTGATACCCTTTAGATCATACTTGTTCTTTATTTCATAAATTACGGTTTCATATTTTAAATTTTATAATTTCTGCATGCCATCTTACCAGATTTAAACTGATGATCTATAATCCGGAATCACCGAAGTCCCAACGAGTCCGTATTAACGACTTTTGACTGCAATACATTATATTAACAATGTTGTATTTATATTAAAAATATGGATTATCACTATGTTTACTTTGAAATAAATAATGTTATATTTATATTATATTTTTGTTTTATTATACTTTTCTGGCCTAATTCATTAAAATCAATAATTTTATGATATTCCAATATTATAGCACTAAGCCATCTACAAATATTTGTTCTGCCTCAATCTGATATGGGCACTATATGGGCTGACCTCCCAAACCTACAAGCAGGGGTGGGCATCATGTCAAAAGCTCCCCTCCAGAAGAGTATTAGAACATCTCACTCACTGCAATACTCCTAATTCACAGGTTCCTAATTTCTTATACGGAACTTTCTCTCAAGCACCAGTTTGCTGAACCGGCTTTCTAGGGTCACCACTCCCTGGGGATATGTTGACCACAAAGGGTGTAGAAGCATAGGCAAGCTATTACTTGGCCACTGCACTATCCACTCTGATGGCTTGTGCCACTACATTCCAAAACAGCATAGGCTATCCTTTTGTATAATTAGAACAGAGTCGATGTATTTTACGTCCCCAAAGGCAACCAAGACTGTCAAAATATAATACAGTGTCTGTACAATCACAAGGGAATGCAGTAGTAAGAATAATCACAATAATACTGCAAGGGGAAAAAAATGGGTCATAGATTTTGAAGGAAGAGTTAGGGTACTCTCAGTCACAAAGACTTTTGGGGACAAAGGGGCATTTGAAAGAAAAAATAGATTGGAAACAGCTGATTGATAAAATGCAGACTGTACAGCAGTTAACCTTGGTTACTTGTGCAACTGACTATGATTACTAAATAATTTAATGCAGTCAAACAGTGTACAAAATCCTCATGGGAAGGATCAATATTTTTTATATGTCACACAACTTCCACCCTTGTTGTAGCTTTACCAAGACGAAAAGAATTTATACAACTCATTCAAATATCACTCCATTAAATCTCACTAAAAGTGACACTTAAAAAAAAAAAAAAAAAAAAAAAAAAAAAGCCTATGTTGTTAGTAAAAGTGGGCCTCATTTCAAATCTTTGTTACCATATTTAAAGCTTCAAATTTTCCTAAATTTTAAAATTATTTATTTTAATCACATGCTGCCAATTTTATATATATATTTTTTAGTTTTTCCGAGATTCAACCTGTTCATTAAATTGAGAGAAAAAGATACTTGTTTGTTATCCAGCACACAGAGAAGAGGCAATCTATAGCGTAAATGACAAAAATGTGTGTCTTTAAGTTGCTGTGATCCACCTATTGCAATGACATTTTCCAATTTCCAATTTTTTAAAGCATATAGTTTTGTTTGATTCTAAAAATTGGAAATTTTGATTAAAAATTTTATTTTCATGGTAGATTTTTGGAATGAAAAAACACATGGAATCTATCAAATCTTTCAAGAATTGCCGAAGACTTTTAAATATACATGTTGCAAAAAATTACACATCATTGAAGAATAAATTTTGAGGCAGAGTATGTTCAAAATTGCAAATAAAAACAAAGAATAATATGCTGTTTATTAGAAATAATGAATTGAAAAAAAAAAAAAAATCATTGAAAAAAAAAAGAGGCCATCACTGCCATTCCCAAAGTTGTCAAACCTTAAATTATCCAGCAGGCAGAGATTGACAACTCCACAGGCACCTATGGCATTTTTGTCCGCTTGATAACAAATAAGTATCAAAATGAGAGGAAACTGTATCTTGTGCTTACCTAGATACTCTGTACCATAATAAGCAAACATCAAAGGACATGCAGAATTGTGTTTTTTAGAATACTCGGTTCCTGATTTCACGACAGTTTGGCAAAGAGCGAAGAGTTTCTCTTCAGGGATAACCTTATAAAATACATATATATATATATACATAAAAAATATATTTTAATAATAAACACATTTAAAAATTTAAATATAAAACAGCTTCTGACATTTTCTCATAACCCACACCATCATGAAACATTGCCAACTCATTAGTGATGTAACAAATTAGCCAAATGTTTGTTTTGCCATTTTTATGGGTTTAAGTATTGTTCTGATCATAGGTAATAATTCACAAAGCATTTCATAAGGAATAAAGAATTGTGTTGAGGAGGAACAATAATCTAAATGACCAGATTTATTATTACTGAAAAATACACATTTTTGAGTTAGAAAAGCACTGATGAGTAAAATAACGATTACGTATACAGTACACAAATTCATGTGTATTCAGATACGAGTGCAGTATCTTCATGTATAACTTTTCTATTATTGCCTCTGCACTTGAAAATAGGACAAGATCAGCAATTCTATAGAATGTTAAAACCAGAGGTGCAGATAATCAGAAAATATCCAATTTATAATTGGTAAGAATACAGTTTTAATATTAGCTTTAATAACAAATAAATTTAAACACATTTTGCTCTTTTAATTTATTACATTGAATCCAGTCTGTCACAAGGAAATTTTTTTTTTAAAAATAACATTCCAGCATATTTTTATTGAAACATATATTGTGAGAACATGATAATAAAATCACCTGATGTTTTAATACTTTTCTCAAGAATAAAATTCCACTTAAATAGCCAGCTCTTCCGACAAGCAATTCATCTGATCCACATCGTAAGAAATTAACAGGAAGGCAAACATCTGCAAAAGCGGCATAAGTTTGCAGATAGGAAATATATTCTGTTTCTTTTCCCAAAGCTTTTGCAATTACAGCAGCTACAGCATAAGTTCCACTTGCACCTAGCAGAAATGCAGCTTGCATAGATTTATCAGCTTTAATCCTAGGCTGTTCCACATAAGAGAGGGCACACTTCATATATTCTTCACTCTTATTCAAGAATTCCACTCTATTTTCTAAAAATTCAGGATGATGCGATATATAGTAACTCATGTATGCAACTCCAGCTATACCAACATACAGCCCTCCATCACAGTCATCTGCAGAAAAAGTCTGGTGTCTAAAAATATGTCCTGCATAATCTAGGCATCGATTTTTAAACAACTCTTTTGAAATCTGAACAGCAGCACCACTATAATCATTTAATCTGTTGCTAAAATATCGCACAGAAGCAGACATAGTGGTATGTATTTTAATTATATGTTGAAGAAAATTATTTAGCTTTTGATGAACATGAAATAACTTCTCAATGCTCCACCAAACACCAGACTGCATGTACAAATGTATGAAACAAACTCTGAAATAAAGAAATGCATATAAATGCTTTAAAATACATAATACAAAGATCATGTTTAAATCTCACTAGTTAAGAAATCTAAAATTAAAATTTTGAAATATTCAAATTATTTTCAGATGACATAAAATAAATCACAGAATGTTTAAAATTTGCATAAAATTAATATAATTAGTTTATTAAAGTACAACTGCAGGTTATTTCCAATTATAGTAAATTTTAAATTCAGACTGTTTTACAATTTATCAGAATAGCACTAATAATTTATACTGAATGTGAAGAATACATAAAACTACACAATAAATTGTTAATCGATTGCAAATATATTAAGCCAGAAATTTCTAAATGAAAAAGAATATCGAAAAATAATGTAGGCTTCCACCTATGACAAAAATATATTTTAAATTAGATTACTACTTTCTGTTTATTTGCCCCCTGACTGAAAAGCACTGATGTAGCAGTGCAGCATGTCTTCAAGCTAGGTATAAGCATAACATCCTCTCCAAATATTTCCTCCAGAATGACTGCAGATGATGATCCCTCCTGTGCGAATTTCAGGACTTAAATACAGTGGTGACCATATACTGCAGTTTTCGTCACCTTCAGAAAAAGCTTAGCTTAGCTTTCTGCATGCATAATGTGGCTCACTTAAAGGTATCATGCACATCGTTTTTCCTTTCATTTTAGAACTACAGACCCAAGTTCATTTAAAATTTCTATAGAAAACTTCAATATAATGAAAATAAAGAGCAGATTCTACATAGACCATTTAAAAATAACAAAGGTACAATAGCTCAGCAATTAAAAACAGAGAACACATAACCGAGAGAGAAATATACAACAATCTCATCAATTAGAATTATAAGAAAAATGGGAGAAGGTTGTCAAAATTATACCATTATCTAATAATGAAAGTAAGATTATTAGAATAAACTAAACTAAATGGGCAACAAAATGGCCAAATTTGGCATACACTGATACCTAATTTTAGCTGGTTTTTTTACTTCTCCCCCATTCATACGAAAAGAAACATGGCAAAGCAAAATATAAAATTGGGGGGAAATATTACCTTAGATGGACACAGATTTAAATTAAAACTCCAGCAGCTTTGAAGATCTGACATAAACAAACAAGAGAAACCATCTTCAGAAGCGATGGAATTTTTTTATTCTAAAAATTGCTTTCTCACCTAATTTTACATTTTCTCTTATATCCTTACATAATATTTCTTCTCCAGACTCTTATTTTACACCAATTTCATGTTTACATACCATCTTATCATATACTATGATTACTTGATTACAAAAAACCATATTTCTAAATTGTATCATAACAAAACATGGTAAACATAAGTATCATAAATTAAAAAAAATCCAATACATGATAAAAGCCATTTAAAAGAGTTATTTTTCTAAAAATGTCTACCTCTATTAACCCCTTAACGCATTTGCCAGTGTCTGACATGGGCGATCTTGTATCTCACGCTACTTTATTTCTAATGCCTGTCTGAGATCTGTTCTAATAAAAATAAATAGGCTATATTATAATTAAACTTATTTCCCTTAGAGGGCACCACTATGCAGCACTTTTTTTTTTTTTTTAATATAAACCACGTGGTGCATTTTGATGATTAGCTATAAGTTTATTAAGAATTCTTTGTTAGAAAGCAGTTGTTTGGCGTGGAAAAGGTAGTAATTTCCATTTTTATTGTGCTAATTGTCATAAAAGTAAACAGTTGACCTTAAATGAAATTTTACTGAATGTTTTTGTAACTTATTTAGAAGAAGTTATCTGATAATGAACGGCTCTGACTATTTTGAATATGCCAATTTATCAGAAAGTTTCAGTGATCAAAGTTATGATCTCTACAGTAATGAAAGGGAATCTGCAGATAATGATGACGAGATTTTGGTTGTAGCAAGATATCAGTATCAAATTAGTACAAATCAAATAATAACTACAGTCAAAAGTCATTAATTCGGACACCCGTAATCCGGAATGATCTATAATCCAGACCTCAAAGCTACAAACTTTCTGTGCATGCGTCTAATTGACGCATGCGTGTAAGACCTTTACGGCTGAGAATATGCGTGTGCGCATCCGCATAAGAAGTTTACGCATGTGTGTTTAATGTATAACGGCCGGTATAAATTAAGCTATTCATTAATGTGGCAGATTGCGTGTTCCTAATCTTTGAATTGGATCGGCTTTTATTTTTTGCGACTGTAGAGCATTTTATGAAAGTAAGCTTTAAACTTCGTAGGCAAAGAATTCCATATATATTTACTAATTTAAAGGATTACAAAGCAAAGTATGTTTCGCTTATTAAACAAAAGTGATTGCTGCAAAAATGACCTAACCATCTACTAAATCTCTCTTTATCAATTTCACGTGCTTGCGGGGGGGGCCACGCGCGCATGAATGGAGTTGATCTGTCATCACTATCCTTATCTCAGGGCAGATTTTTATTTATTGGCTATATTCCTTGCTAAATGTAATTTCTCTGATGGACTCGTCTTTGATATGAATCAAATTCCTCATCATTATAATTCGCTTCGACAGCGAAGAAGTGACACAGAGGTTATTGAAAATGAAAAATTTTGATTGAAATATAGTCGGTATTCGACCAGCAATTTAGGCTTGAACAGGGACTTTGTACAGAACAAGAAATTATGTTGTTTGTAGAATTAAAGAGAGAGAGGGAGAGAATAACAGTAGTAATAATTAATAAATAATATATAATATTAAGTTTTTTTTTTTGTAAATTTTGATACCCTTTAGATCATACTTGTCTTTATTATAAATTATGGTTCATATTTTTAATTTCATAATTTCTTCATGCCATCTTACCAGATTTAAACTGATGATCTATAATCCGGAAAAATTGATAATCCGCAATCGCCGACGTCCTGACGAGTCCAGATTAACGACTTTTGACTGTATATTGCACATTCTCCAGTGGTAAGAAAACATGTATCAAAAACTAAAGTCCTTATCGTGTTTGACACATCTTCAAAGTGCAATGGGGTATCTCTGAACAATTGTTTGATGCCAGGCGAAATTTGAATCCTTCTGTTTCAGACTTGATATTGCGGTTCAGACAATACAAGCATGCGTTCTCAGCAGATATTGAAAAGGCCTCTCTCCAGATTGGAATCTCTGAAATTGATAGAGATTACGGTTTTTTACGTGATTAATTACAATTTGAAACATTATAGAATGACTCGCGTTCCTTTCGGTGTTTGTAGCCCTTTCATTGGCGTGTACTATAAAAAGCATATAAAAAACGAGTTAGAATATCCAGATATTTTTGAGATGTCGAACTGTTCGATCTACGCAGATGATGTTTTCTATGGTGCAGATTCTATGGAACAGGCTTTTAAGTTAAGTACTGGAGCCTATTGTGTGCTCAAAGATGCCGGAATGAATTTGCGTCAGTTAATACAAATTCAGAGAAATTAAAAAAACTTTGGGATGATTGTGGAATAATTAATTCAGAAAATGAACTAAATAGCTCTTTAAAAGTATTAGGGCTTAATTAGTGTACGAGTAAAAATGTAATTTCCTTGAACATAGATAACTTGTGCAAAACATTAAGCAGTTGTAGAAAACCCACAAAAAGAAATATATTAAAGGTGACTGCTACTATTTTCGATCCAGTAGGTTTCTTGGTGCCATTTGCATTACGTGCAAAATTGATAATGCAAAACCTTTGGCAGTTGGATTTAGAATTTGATGACGAAGTTCCAATTGATTATAAGCAGTTGTGGTCCGAGTGGAGCGGTGAAATCGAAAAGTTAAAGAAATCTGAAATTTCTCGAGAATATTTCCCCGGCAAATTGAATCAAAGTAAAGACATCGAACTGCATTTATTTTGTAATGCATCTATTAAAGCATATGATTCAGTTGCATATTTTAATTGGTTGAAGATGGACAGGTAGCGTTCATTATGGCAAAATCTAGAATTGCACCAATAAAACAAAAACTGACTCTTCCAAGGTTAGAGTTACTAGGAGCATTAATATCAGCAAGACTTGCTAAAAATTTAAAAGAGCTGTTTTCAATTCATGATGAAAATATTTATCTGTGGACTGACAGTATGATAGTGGTTCACTGGATTCATAGTGCTCCGAACAGAAAATTTGTAAAAAATCGAGATCTGAATACAATCATTAACTTTCCAAATAACTGGAGACATTGTAAATGGAAAGTCCAATCCAGCGGACAATTTTTATCTCGAGGATGTTCAGCCGAATATTTGTGTCTTCAAGATTACAGTCTGGGCAGATTGTTTAGTTGAATCAGTGAGTGCTAGCCTATAAATTATTGCGACAACTGGTTTTTGATGCTGATTGGAAAAGTGTATAAATATACCACAACTAACGTATTGCAGAAAATTTAATTCTCTATTGAATCTTGAAAATTATAGTAAATTAATTAAGCTATTAGAGTGACTGCATGGATATTTAGATTTATCACAATCTGAAAAATAAAACTGACAAGAAAACGAAAACTTAGGTTCGTAGCGGTCCTTACAAGTGCTGATAAGTCTATATTGAAATAAATATAAGCCCTTATAGGTGCTACTTTTTTTTAAAGCCCTTATTTTTGTTTTTAGTGATTTTTAATCCTTGTTAATAACGCACATTTTTTCCCCTACCAAAGCTGAAATAAATAAACAACTTTTCTTCCTCGTATGCAACGTCACATGGTGAATCATACTTCGGAAATTTACTTTTCCCCCTTTCTCTGCTAACGTAACCTATGGTGCGCTAAAGTACAGACAGGTGATGTCGGTCTATTGGTCAAAAATTGCAAAAACGGTAGAAAATTCCAGTACATTCGGATTCTTTTCCTCCACCGAAATACTACACACGTTTGAATTTCTATCAAGATTTTATAATTTGCATTTCGTTTGCTGGTCAGTTCATATTGTGTTTTTATGATTTTATGCTTATATTATGGCATAGCATGAATTTTAATAATATAGTTGCAGTAACTGCTGAAGTATAGATAAACTTCAAAAAATGGGTGTGTATTTACCAATTGCTCTCTACGGACCTAAATAGGAAAGTAAAAATACCCAAAAAAAAAAAAAAAAAAAAAAAAATCTAAAGTCTCCCTTTGCATCTCTAATATTGAAAGCAGACTATTTTTCCTTAAAGTGCTGAGGTATAAGTGCATAGTGCTTATTTTTTTAATAAAAGTTGGATACGACCCTGCCCTTGATAGCAGAAAACTCTTGCCGCAGAATTATATTTGATAAAGAAGTTTAATATGAACATTTTTCTGTTGAAATTAATAGTTTAAAGTCTGGACAGTTGACTAAAAAAACTCATACATTTACAACTAAATACCTTTTTAATGAGGAAAGAGTTTTGTTAGTAGGGAAGACTACAAAAATCAACTTTAAGTTTCATGAAAGCATTCTATAATTATTCCCTCAAAAACTCATTTACTATCTTCTGGTACGTGATGCATATGAACGAGTTCTTTATACAGGTGTAGCTAGTATTTTCATGTGAAAAATACTGGATAACTGGATGCAGACAAAATGTGAAACTTGTTATAAGAAACTGTGTACTGTGTCAGCGTTATAACTTCCGACCGATGCGACAAGTCATAGCACCATTACCTCCATCTAGAATTGAAAAGAAAATCCTTTTGATGTTATAGGACTGGATTATGCAGGTCCCATTTTTCATGAAAAATGAAGATACAAAGTATTATATCCTATTATTTACCTGTGCAGTAACTAGAGGCATTCATCTTACACTAATAAAAGATCTCATAACTAAATCTTTCCTACTTGCTTTTCGTCGATTCATATCAAGAAGAGGGTTGTGTTCTTTAATATACTCAGATAACGCGCGTACATTCAAGGCAGCTGATGCAGAGCTCAGAAAGATGTGGCAGGTATTAAGCTATCCCGATGTAAAGAATTATTATGCAGCAAAGGACATTCAGTGGAGGTATATCATTGAAAGAGGAGCCTGGTGGGGTGGATTTTACAAGAGACTTGTGCGATCTGTCAAAACAATATTAAGAAAAATTCTTGGTAGAACATTACTGCTACCTGAAGAATTAGAAACTGTTCTGACTGAAATTGAAGCGGTGATAAATCGTCGACTCTTGACTTACGTCCAAGATAAGGAGCCCCAAGTTCTGTCACCTGCTCATTTTCTGCTAGGGCAGAAACTTGCTAATTTGCCTCCTGTCAAATACACTCATGAAGTGTGCAGTACTAAAGAAATTCTTTTAAAAGTGCATCTATATCATGAAAAATTATTAAGTAACTTTTGGAAAATCTTTTATAAGGATTATTAGATTATTTGTTAAATCTGAAATCTGCAAATTGTGTGAAAATCACCGTGCAAAGCATGACTAAGTGTGAACGATATGTGATTTACAGATGAACATTTACCACGAAACATGTGGAGATAGAAAGGTTCTCAAAATATTTACTGAAAGATTACTAAAAAAAACTTAAAAAGGCATTATAGAGACCTTTACAATTATTAGTTAAGTAGAATGCTAAGAGTATGATTGTATGATAGTATATTTCTTATTGAAAATGTAATCGTAATGCTACTAATGTTGTATATATTTTATTTATTGCTATTTAAGAAATGTATATATTAGAAAATTTCAAGGTTGTAGACATGTATAAGGGATTAAAAATTTAATTAATAAAAAAAAAAAAAAAAACAAAAGGTTTTTGTAATATTCTAGTATTTGTTGAATTTAATCTGATTTTGAAAATCATTTGTTTATTTATCGAGTTATATATTTTGATTTAATCCTGATGCTTGAAAGGAGTAAGAGAATAATTCTTGATGAATGAAAATTTACTTGATATTCTTGAAACATATGTAAGTTTTACATGTTCGTGATGTTTATGTGACATTTCTTGAGTACAAAAACCTGAATTTGTATTGAAATGCATAATTATTCTTGAAAATGTTCATGTATCACTGATAATCTTGATTATTCTGAACTACTGTTCAGCCGAGCCCAGTGTGTAAGACATTTTATGTGGAAATAATATTTTAATCGCCAAAGAGGGCATAAATCTTTCATGATGTTATACTTCTTATTCTTGGATCTGGCAGAGCCAGATGAATGTGTCTTAGACGTGAATAAACTTGGCAGTTTAAAAACCTGATTCGTAATGTTCATTTACCTTGATGTTATGTGTGATTTGAATTAGTGTTTTTTGAACCAGGATAACTTGAAAATCTTGACGGTTATTATAATTTTTTATAGAAGCAGTGAGTATATTCAAAATTTTGTGGCTTAGCTGTCACTGTTTTTCCATAGTGTGAGGATCATACATATATAGATATTTTTTTCATTATTTAATAATAGAGCAATGTGTGTGTGTGAAGAATACTTTCACTCATTTAGTCTGTAATGTACAAATTTCAAATGTTGGTAATCTTTTGTTATTAATACAAAAATACTAGCAAAAAAATTACATTTAATATATTGTTAGCACGCATCAATGCTGACTCACTATATTGTATACAACTTAAATTAAGGAACAACTTAAATTAAGGATGCACAACTGAGTCTGACTGGAAGGTCCTCTTGTAACAAAGTCAGTCTTTTACAGGAAATGAAGACAGAAAATATGGTGCTCGTCTGTCACTAGGATACAATTTTGGAATTTGCTCTGCAAAATATGCAGGGTTTTACTTGGATAGAAGCTTAACTAAATGTCCTTCAGACTGTACTAGACCACTTTAGTCTGAAATATCAGACGACAAAAAGGTTAAAATGACCTTTTTACTGAACTCATTAAATTAATGGAAGGCACCACTTGGGCTACAGAATACAACTCTGTGGTATTAAAATAACAAAAGATGAATTAAAATTAAAATTTAGGTCATGTAGTTTAAGATTATACAGAAAATAATGTACCTAAGCTGGTTCAAGTAATACTCAATGCATATTTAAAGTGGCTAAAGGCTGAATATTATTAACCAAAGCTGGCAACAATACGTAACTGCAATGCAAGATTACAAGAAGTTCTACCTTTAAAACATTCAAACCTTTAGGTTAAATATACAATAACCAGTTTGCATTCTGGTTAGGACTACAGAAAGAAGTAAAAGTAATCATAATACCTGGTTAATTAACATAAAATCCTATG